TATATTACAGTATTATATTATCACAGCTTATTGTAGAGTATTATATTATTACACTGTATTGCTGTATCACACTTATTGTACAGTATTATATCACAGTATTATATTATCACAGCTTATTGTAGAGTAATATATTATTACACTGTATTGCTGTATCACACTTATTGTACAGTATTATATTACAGTATTATATTATCACAGCTTATTGTAGAGTATTATATTATTACACTGCATTGCTGTATCACACTTATTTTACAGTATTATATCACAGTATTATATTATCACAGCTTATTGTAGAGTATTATATTATTACACTGTATTGCTGTATCACACTTATTGTACAGTATTATATTACAATATTAGATTATCACAGGTTAATGTAGAGTATTATATTATTACACTTTATTGCTGTATCACACTTATTGTACAGTATTATATTACAGTATTGGATTATCACAACTTATTGTAAAGTAATATATTATTACACTGTATTGCTGTATCACACTCATTGTACAGTATTATATTACAGTATTAGATTATCACAGGTTAATGTAGAGTATTATATTATTACACTTTATTGCTGTATCACACTTATTGTACAGTATTATATTACAGTATTATATTATCACAGCTTATTGTAGAGTATTATATTATTACACTGTATTGCTGTATCACACTTATTTTACAGTATTATATTACAGTATTATATTATCACAGCTTATTGTACAGTAATATATTATTACACTGTATTGCTGTATCACACTTATTGTACAGTATTATATTACAGTATTATATTATCACAGCTTATTGTTGAGTAATATATTATTACACTGTATTGCTGTAGTACACTTATTGTACAGTATTATATTACAGTATTATGTTATCACAGCTTATTGTAGAGTATTATATTATTACACTGTATTGCTGTATCACACTTATTGTACAGTATTATATTACAATATTATATTATCACAGCTTATTGTAAAGTAATATATTATTACACTGCATTGCTGTATCACACTTATTGTACAGTATTATATTATCACAGTTTATTGTAGAGTATATTATTACACTGTATTGCTGTATCACACTTATTGTACAGTATTATATTACAGTATTATATTATCACAGCTTATTGTAAAGTAATATATTATTACACTGCATTGCTGTAGCACACTTATTGTACAGTATTATATTACAGTATTATATTATCACGGCTTATTGTAGAGTATTATATTATTACACTGTATTGCTGTAGCACACTTATTGTACAGTATTATATTACAGTATTATATTATCACAGCTTATTGTAGAGTATTATATTATTACACTGTATTGCTGTATCACACTTATTGTACAGTATTATATAACAGTATTGGATTATCACAGGTTAATGTAGAGTATTAGATTATTACACTGTATTGCTGTATCACACTTATTGTACAGTATATTACAGTATTAGATTATCACAACTTATTGTAAAGTAATATATTATTACACTGTATTGCTGTATCACACTCATTGTACAGTATTATATTACAGTATTAGATTATCACAGGTTAATGTAGAGTATTATATTATTACACTTTATTGCTGTATCACACTTATTGCACAGTATTATATTACAGTATTATATTATCACAGCTTATTGTAGAGTATTATATTATTACACTGTATTGCTGTATCACACTTATTGTACAGTATTATATTACAGTATTATATTATCACAGCTTATTGTAGTGTATTATATTATTACACTGCATTGCTGTAGCACACTTATTGTACAGTATTATATTACAGTATTATGTTATCACAGCTTATTGTAAAGTAATATATTATTACACTGTATTGCTGTATCACACTCATTGTACAGTATTATATTACAGTATTATATTATCACAGCTTATTGTACAGTATTATATTATTACACTGTATTGCTGTATCACACTTATTGTACAGTATTATATTACAGTATTATATTATCACAGCTTATTGTAGAGTATTATATTATTACACTGTATTGCTGTATCACACTTATTGTACAGTATTATATAACAGTATTGGATTATCACAGGTTAATGTAGAGTATTATATTATTACACTGTATTGCTGTATCACACTTGTACTAGTTATAGCACATGTTCTTAATGCAGCCCTTAATTAAAGCCTATACGTTAGGAATGCAAACACTTTAGTGCCCTAGTCATCATTTAGGTGAAGTGTTTTATCAGTGAGGAGTGTGTCCTTTTGTTCCATATTACAAATTCCAATAGAAATTGTCACTTTTATAATTGAACTTTGTTACAACCCCCTGGCTGTCACTCAGACACCTGATCCTGTTACTTCCTGGTTTGGTTAGCTCAGTGGAGATAAACTCAAGAGGCAGCAATTGCTCAGAGCACCTGCCTTGTAAAGACTTGTCATTGAGCTGCATGGAGAAGTCTGTGATTGGACAGCCACAGAAAGTCTGTGCAGAGTTAGAAGGGGAGGGCTTGCAAAGGCTGCAGACAAGAGATCTGAAGTTTTTACAATCCGTTTTAAATATACCCCCAATCAAAAAAAGCATAATTAAGTGCGTGCATATATTCACTGGGGGTGTATCTACAAAATTATTAAAAAGTAAAATATATATTAATTTGTTCATTGGAGTGTTTCAGATTAGGCAATAGTGATTATTACTAACGGCCACCCTCCAATAAGTTCAGTGTGTATAGTTCCTGGTGATAAAGCTTTTCCTTCTTGAAGTGAATTATCAGTAAAGGAAAAAAAAAGTCCAATATAAAATCTCGATTTTTATAATAATTGTTATGGAAATACAGGAAAAAAGATCTGTTTTTATATAAAGGGGAAATATGCTGGGATATTTTGAGACTGTATTGAATAAGTCAGTGATGGGAACAATTTTCTCCACTTGGGGATTATGTCAAATGCGAAAACTCAGACTTGGCAGTGATCCCCACCATTGGAAGAAAATACGAATATAAAACCCCAAAGTTCAGACACATTTTGGTATGTTAAGTCAAACTCAGAGTCAGAAAGACCTATGTAAATATCAGGTGAAGGCGAGTGGAAAAGCTTCAGCAATAACAAAGCACGTGTCACAAACAACCTCCGAAAACTTGGACAAACGGAAAGATAGTGTACTGTAGAAACAGAAAACGAGGAAATGCTAAAGTATTCGGACCATACACGTTTATGGCAGCGTGCATGAAGAAATGGAAACGGACCAGCTGAACTATGAGAGTGATAGCAACTATAGCAGATAACTATAGCAAAAAGGAGATAACAAAGACATTGACAATAACGTAAATAGACTAAACCCAACAGTGATTACATCATATGCCAGAAAGAGACAGACAGGCAGATAGAGAGAGAGAGAGAGAGAGAAAGAGAGAGAGAGATAGATAGAGATAGATAGATAGATAGATAGACAGACAGACAGACGGGATTATGCACAGATATTTCAATTCTGACAAATAATTTTTCTGAAGATAAAAATTTTTGGGACACCTGAAATTCAAGAAATTGTTGATTCGGGAAACCAAATCAGAAGCTCAAATCAAAAATGAAAGAAAATGGGCCAATTGGTATGCTGCAAAATACATATATATGATATTTATGTTTATATATTTTGCAGGACACTGACAGCATTGTCATAAATTTTGGTTCAAAAATCAAGAATAAGTACCTCATAAAAGGAAAAAGAGGAGGAGCAGCGTTGGTGTCGCTACAGTAGGGTAATTGACCCCCAGATCATGCCTTGCCTCGCTGTGTGCCCAGCCAGCTTTTCCTCATGTAGACGTATTCTTGTATTCTATAAACACAAAAAGAATTCAGCGCTAGTAATCACAAAATTAGTCAAGGTAGGCAGCAACCCAAATGAAGGAAAACCCCTCGGGTCCTTCGGTGGATAGAAACAAAAAGATATGGAAGGGCTGCGCCAAATAAGGGTAGATAGTCCAGTAAAGTATTGCTAGGGTGCCAATAGATGGTCTAGGATACTTGATAGAGTTCCTCTGTGGATGCGTCTGGTGTAGACCGTTCCGTATATGTAAATACAAGAGAGGTAGAGAATTAATAACCATAAACGCGTTTCACCATAAGTGGCTTCTTCAGAATGGGAGAAGCCACTTATGGTGAAACGCGTTTATGGTTATTAATTCTGTATTTTACTGTGTATTTTAGATCAATAAAAGTTTTTTGGCTACTTTATTGTACCAATCCTCTTTTTATTGCACTCTTTATGCACTTTAAACAACTTTTGTTTTTACCTATTCCTGGCATTTTAACCTTTCCTGGTTACTTTTACTTCCACTGGCAATTTTAAAGTTCCAGTACTCCAAGAAATCCTAGGTGGGGATCATACCACCAGTGCCTATCCATAGAGCAGTACCTCTGCTCTATCTTTGTGAGTATTATTTTATTTTCTCTACTACTCTCTTAACCTATCACAATTGAGAGCACTATTGCTGCTTTTTATTCTTCTATATTGGAGCCTTGGATCACCAGACGGTGCTGACGGACGTATCGCCGCTACATATCCTATAAGCGGGGATTATACCGCTGTACGCTATCCACACCAGAGCTGGCCATAGCTCCCTCAAATGTGAGTTTTTTACCTCTTCTTATCTGCACATTGAACCACATCAAAATTGAGAGCACTATTGTTGCTTTCTGTCTTTCTTTTTTGAGCTCTGGACTACCAGACGGTGTTGACGGAGACCCCTCCCTACATATCCCATAAGCGGGGATTATACCGCTGTACGCAATCTACACCAGAGCTGGCCATAGCTCTCTTGAATGTGAGTTCTTTACTTTTTGTTACCTATTACACCCTGAACTTTCATACTATACCATTAGTCGCCTCTACCTCTCTTGTATTTACATATAACGGTCTACACCAGACGCATCCACAGAGGAACTCTATCAAGTATCCTAGACCATCTATTGGCACCCTAGCAATACTTTACTGGACTATCTACCCTTATTTGGCGCAGCCCTTCCATATCTTTTTGTATTCTTGTATTCTCCCTGCAGGTCCCATTCTCTGTGTCCTGTGTGTGGAATTGTACAGAACAAAATAGAAATAATTGAGGTGCACAAATAGTTGCTGTGTTCACAAAACAAGGTGTTACTACCATTTATTTGAAGGTCAAAAAAAACAAACAATTTGGGGTAATCCCTTTGTCAATGCATCATGTTCCTCCCCCATACAACACACTCACCCATTTAAATACAAAATAGACAGTGAATAAGCCCGTAGCCACACCCCTCTCTGCCCAAAGTGAGGAAATTCCGCGGTCATCACGTCGTGCGTGATGACGTCATACATAGCATCGTGCGTCATGAAGTCATGTTGCTAAGCAACGATAAACAAACATAGGAATATGCTTAAGTCCAATCTCCTGGCTGTATAGGAGATCAGTAAATACAAAAATGAGCATTTTCTACTCAATAAAGGTAAAATTAGAGCCAGGCACCCAAATAGCATGGAAACAAAAGAGCGACATATAAGAATACATCAGCAGGAATAGCAATTTACAAGAACCAGAAGGAACCTCCGATCTAATGGTGTGTGAACACAAATACAGTGGTATTTCCGTATACACACATATTATATACACGGGCATTTCACCAAAAAGAAGGACAATAGTCAGGGGAAATGCAGAGTACAGCCCTACAATATAAAGTATAGTAGGGAGTAAAGGAAGACCATCTATCAAGGAAAGGACCAATGGAAACACAGGATCTTAAAGGGACAGGAGCAATATTAAAATAATAGTATCCCCGGTTTTGATTGTGGTATCTTTGCCCCCTCCCCCTATGTATTGTTCCTAGAGTCACCACTGAGGAGCAGTAAAACTCGATATTTATATTTCTAACTATAGATTTATTTTTAGTGCTCCAAAGGTTTTTCTCTCTGTTGATCTTATCTCACTAGATGTAAGGTCTGTAAGCCAGAATCAGCTTCAACCCGAATTATTGTCCTATTCCTGCTACATCACAAAGTATTATAGAGATTAGAAATAATTAAGAAAGGGTTTAAAATACTGAGCTTTAATTCCTTTTTAAACATAAAACAGAGGACATTTTAATGTGGTGATTATTTGGAAGTATGGTACACAGTGGATAGGATGGTTCCAAAAATAATTCTAGAATCAGACGCCGGCAGGTTAAGGGGGGGTTGCGTTTTGTAGATAAAGCAACAGGGAAAAGTAGCAATTTCAAAGATCTATCATCGCAGGTTTGGTTGCTGTAAAGAACGAATCGTATTAATTTAAGATTAAAAATTTGTTTAATTTTCTGCATTGAGATTTAAGAATTATTTACAGAGAAACAAATACAAACCTTTAAGCAGAATTAACTGAAAATTTATTTTTTGTATTAAAGAGACAAAAAACATAGTGTTTAAAGGAAGCTGAGTTTTCTTTCATTTCTGAGAATGGCCTTTAGGGGAAGCAGTTTGTAACACTGTAAGACTGTGCACTAGGACTGGCAGTCTTCTTAGGGTGGAGGGGGCAGTCCGCAGTGGCACAAAGCATCCCTCTCCCACCAAGACGGGCACTTGTCTACTGGCACCTTGCTTGTGGGAGTACAGCATGGTAGGGGACTTCTTTGAGGTGTGCTGTCATACCTGTGCTATAGATAGTGAGGGGCTGCTGGGATATCACTGCACTGATTTCTCATATCCCACATATAAAGCTAGAGCCGCGATATGGCGTTGCCCCAGCCCTAGCCCCAGCAACTGTACAGAGTGGCAGTAGTTGGGATATCAGAAGAGACTGTTCCCAGCAGATCCCACTGTAGCCCAGGATGAGGTTCCACTCCAGTTTTCCCTTTAATGGTAAGGTACACTTTTTTTTTTATGTCTTCATGGATGTAAGTATTTGTATATATAAATGTGGGCGTATAAATGTGTCTTTGTGTTTATACGTCTGAGTGTGTATATGAATGTGTGTGTGTGTATACAGTGGCGTACACATGACCCATGGGGCTCTGGTGCGAAAATTGATCCGTGCCCCCCCCCCCCCACGCTTACTCTGCGTGGGCCGGGGCCACTACACATGGCGGCGGGGCTGCGACTCCTGCGACCGCGGTAGGTATGCCAGTGCATGCAGATGCACACACACTTAAAGGACCACTACAGACCCCCAGATCACATCAGCTCAATGAAGTGGTCTGGGTGCCAGGTCCCTCTAGTTTTAACCCTGCAGCTGAAAACATAGCAGTTTCAGAGAATCTGCTATGTTTCACTGAGGGTTTATCCAGCCTCTAGTGGCTGTCTCACTGACAGCCGCTAGAGGAGCTTCCACGATTCTAAGACACTGAACTTCCATAGGAAAGCATTGAGTAATGCTTTCCTATGGACGATTTGAATGTGCGCGCGGCTCTTGAAAGGTAATTGCTGAAGACACACACACACTCTCACGAACAGACGCATACACACATTTACTGACAGAGACACACTCAGCGACATACATACATACACACTCACAAAACATACACTCTCACTGACAAACACACACTCATTAACAGATTCCCTAACAGACACACACAAACACACACTCAGTAACAGACACACACTAGCAGACACACACAAACACACTAACACACATACTCTAACACACACAAACAAACACAAGCACTAACACAAACACAAGCACTAACACAAACACTAACACACACACACTAACAAACACTAACACACACTAACAAACACTAGCACACACACTAACACTCACTGTCAGGATCTTACCTGATGGGGAGTCCGGCTCGCAGAGTTATACGCTCACCCTTGCAAAGTAGACACAGACCAGGGTGACCAGGTAAGACACCACCTGATCTGTGAGTCTGTGCACGGGGGCTTTCCAGGAATAGTGCTCCAAGTAGCAGTACAGCAGGGATTAGCAGAAGCGTAGTCAAGGAAAGCCAAAGTCAGGGGAAGCCAGATATCAGAGTAGTCCAGGAGGAAAGCCAAGGTCAGAAGCCGGAATCAGAAAGGAAATACTGGAACACAGATATAGCAAGACAGGAACCAGAGTCAATGAACTGACACTGCCCTCAGGGAGAGGCAGTGTCTTATACCTGGCTAATTTGTGATCAGCCACAGGTGTGCTGAGATCGTTGGAGCAGCCACAGAATAACGTCCAGCCCCCAATGCTGGGTACAAGGCAAGATAGACTTCTGTCTATCTTTAGAGCTGATATGGTGGTTCAGAGGCAAAGTAGCAGCCCCAGGACTGCAAAGTACCCTGGTTCAAGTCCGTCACCGGACACTTCTGGGGCGACCTCGTCTGGCCGTCGGGATGTCGCAGTGAGAACCGTGACAGTACCCTCCCTTCAAGAATGCCCTCTGGGCGTGAACAGGTTCTTCTTGAAAATAGTACACCTCATCTTCGGTCTCAGTATCACTAAGATAGTCTTTGTATTCAAAGTCTCCAGAGTGGAGTCCCTTTACAGCCTGCGACTTTATGGTACCAGTTTCGGGTACTAATGGAAAGAGGTCAAGGTTATTCATGGATTTGGTGGAGGTGGTAAGTACCTTGATCCCAGGAGTCATTTTCTCTGAACTTTTTTTCTTAGGTGAGTCACCAGGAGCAGAGTTCACGGCTTTTAAAGCCCTTTCAAACATTTCCAAATCTGTTCTGTGTACCATAGGTGCAATCCGCAGGTAGTTCTCCTTTGGGCAGACAGGAAGTGGTGGTGGTACCAGTTTTAACAGGAGAGTCTTCTGGAGGTGGTGAATTCTCATGATCACCGATTATGTGTTCTTGAGAGACACTGGCATCAGTAGCCATCGTAGTCTGGGTACTCTTCTGCGTCACGGAACGTGGAAACATCCGACAGTACCCTTGACATTTTTCTGGCTGTGTTGCCGGGATAACAGGATGAAGCTGAGTAGTACCTACTTGAAGAGGCTTAGGCCGAGTTGGGCGAATAGGGCAGTGGGAGATAAAGTGCCCTCCTTCTCCACAATAGAAACAGAGACAACAAGCCCTCCTTCTGTCTCTTTCTCTAGATGGCAGTCTTGTTCTAGTGCGGATGAAGCCAATCTCCATGGGTTCCTCCTTGTCCTCTAGAGTGCCAAGTTCCACATGGGTAACATTATGATGACAAGGCAGGTCCTTGGAGGTAGGTTTAGACTGTAGCGACATGGGATTCTTGTATTCATAAAATAATTCCTCTTCTCTAGGCAACCGGGTTCTGCGAGAACCTGAAGTAGGCTTGGGAGTTGCTTTCCTTGATGCAAAGCACTGAGAGTCCATTGCAGACATAAACAACTCCCAGGAGTCCAAGACAGTACTTCTCTCCTGCAGCTTCTGGTGTGCCCACGCCTTAATCCGCCCAGTACACAGGTTAATAGCGGAGCGGACTCTGATAAGGTCAGTGGCGTAGGTTCTAGGTTTCAGGGCAAACAGTAGCTCACAATCCTTCTTGAACATCGGGAAAGCAGAACGGGAACCGTCAAACCTGTCAGGCATAATGGCATAGGGTTCTGGGTATGTATGTTCCGGGATTGGATGTACTGCTCTTTTAAATGCCAATGAACATCTCTGCAAATCCATAACATTCTGGGACAGGTTGGAGACTTGTTCAGCCAGGGAGGTGAGTAATTTGTATAACTCTGCAGACTCCATATGGTCAGTTCATTATGTCAGGATCTTACCTGATGGGGAGTCCGGCTCGCAGAGTTATACGCTCACCCTTGCAAAGTAGACACAGACCAGGGTGACCAGGTAAGACGCCACCTGATCTGTGAGTCTGTGCACGGGGGCTTTCCAGGAATAGTGCTCCAAGTAGCAGTACAGCAGGGATTAGCAGAAACGTAGTCAAGGAAAGCCAAAGTCAGGGGAAGTCAGATATCAGAGTAGTCCAGGAGGAAAGCCAAGGTCAGAAGCCGGAATCAGACAGGAAATACTGGAACGCAGATATAGCAAGACAGGAACCAAACAAGGGAACCAGAGTCAATGAACTGACACTGCCCTCAGGGAGAGGCAGTGTCTTATACCTGGCTAATTTGTGATCAGCCACAGGTGTGCTGAGATCGTTGGAGCAGCCACAGAATAACGTCCAGCCCCCAATACTGGGTACAAGGCAAGATAGACTTCTGTCTACCTCTAGAGCTGATATGGTGGCTCAGAGGCAAAGCAGCAGCCCCAGGACTGCAAAGTACCCTGGTTCAAGTCCGTCACCGGGCACTTCTGGGGCGACTTCGTCTGGCTGTCGGGATGTTGTGGTGAGAACCGTGACACACACACACACACACACACATGTTTTTTTTAAATTTAATCTCCCAGCCTCCTTACCATTTGGAGTGCTGAGGGGATGGCGGGCGGGCAGGCAGGCTGGCGGGCGCGCGAGGGAGCAATCTCCCCTGAGTTCTCCATCTTCAGCTCCCTCGACATCATCTTCCGGCTCCGGTATCAGTACGCGGTGCGCAAGGGAGCTGAAGAGGAAGCACTCAGGGGAGAGTGCTCCCTCGCGCGCCCGCCAGCCTGCCCGCCCAGTGATAGCAGGGCCAGCCTCGGGGGGCCCTGAGGTGGTCAACTCCCGGGCCCCCAGGAGAAGAGGCTGGCCACAGTGGGTACATACCGGGTCGCAG